CTGAATTCAGTCCATCTGCAAGCACCAACTTTCTTAGGTAGCAAGACAATAGAAGTGGCAGCAAAACCCCGTGGAAGATGACCACCATCAAAGAAGTCCAATACCGCCCTGTAAACATCCTCCTGAATAATATCCCAGCAATGCTGGAAGAATAGGGATGAGAAGCCATCCGGGCCAGCGACACTGTCAGCATCAATACTGAAAACTGCCTCCCGTACCTCATGAATCAAAGGGGGGCGGTTTAGTGCCAAATTATCTTCCTCCGTCAATAGCCTCGGAATGACATCAGAATGGATGTGGTCTAAAGGTTGTGGAGGAGTAGAGAAGAGATCCTGGTAGAAGGCAATAGCCGAGTTCTGAATATCAGTAGGAGTAGCTAAGACTTCCCCTGCCTGTGTCCTGATGGACCTAATACGCGATCTGATACGGCGTCCTTGAACCATCGCATGGAAGTATCGAGTATTGTGATCTCCTTCACATACCCAACGTGAGCCAGCCCTTTGCTTCCAGAAGCCCTCCTCAATAGATAAAGTCTGGTTCAAAGCTGCCTGAACCTGATGCAGTATGTCACGATGTTCCGGTGTAGGGTCACTGTCAAATACAATTTCTGCCTCATCAACCCTGTCCTCAGCATCCCTCACTCGCTGGAAAATGTCTCCAAACACATGTCGATTCCACCAGCGCAATCCCTGTTTCATCCTGAAGAATTTCTCCCAAAGAGCGGCCATCCCCGTAAGATGAGTGGGGAGTGACCACTTCTGAGAGACAAATGCTAAAAAATCATGATGCTTGGTCCAAACGTTGAGGAATCTGAAAGGCCTAGGCCCCAAGTCATCATCAGAAGTCCACTGAAGTAATAAAGGTGAGTGATCAGATGAAGTCCTGTTCAAGTGCTTCACTGTAAGCTGTCGACAAAATGCTGCAGCTGAAGAATTAATGAGTACTCTATCCAATCTCTTTCTGACCCGCCCATTAGTCCAAGTGTATCGATTCCCAAGGAAACCTGCATCCTCTAGACCACTGTCCAACATCATATCAGAAAAAGCTATAGTGCCTCGATCACGAGTATTATGACCCGTGCGCTCTCCATCATGAGTAATAACGTTAAAGTCTCCCCCAACTATCCAAGGGTCCTCCATATCGAGGGGGATGTGGTGAAGACCCGCCCACAAATCCCTCCTGACAGAAGCATCACAAGAAGCGTAAACTGGAGTAAAATATATGGGAAGAGCTAGTCTGGGGTCCTCAACTTTAACGTGAAGAAATTGGGGATGATCAACAATAATAGTAACATTAGTCCCCGAGTTCCAGAAAAACCAAATCTTATTCGATTCATTCTGAGCTCCCGTATCGAAGCGCAGGTAACGTCGAATATATGCAAAGCTGTGTTGAAGAACAAAAGGCTCCAGTAAAACTAACAGATAAACCTGATGAAGCTGTATAAGTTTCTTCAGGCGCCGACGAGTAGCTACACTAGCTACACCTCTCACATTCCAAATGATGGCACTCATAGGGATGGAGAATGTGAAGAGGTATCATGTGACTGACTCCTGGTGATCCTTCTGCTCGGATGTGGAGTATCAGTAGAACGTGGGTGTTTCTTTCTTGTGACTCGGACAAAACCGTCATCCTCTGATCTACCAGCCATACCCACTAAATCCTCAGCAGAAGACCTACGGAACACACCCTGCTGATGGACCTCAATCTGTGATGTAGCTTCAGTATCCGACTGATCAGATTCTACTGAAGGAATAGAAGCTTCAATGTTCTGTTGACAAACAAGTGGAGAACTGGAGGCAGGATTACTAGTACGGCCAGGTGTAGGACCGGGAAGCTGTCTGACAACTCTATCTGTAGCCTCTGAATCATGTGTTCGCCGAGACTTGTCGTGAGCCAAGGGGTCAGTGTAATCACTGTCAACATGAATAACAGGCTGTGATGGAGCCAAGGCTGGTGTAATGGCACTCAAAGGAGCAATATTGTCTGGAGCTACTGACTGCACTCTTGGAGGATTAACTGAAGCAGTGTCTACTATGGATGCAATTGACTGGGCTACAATAGGTTGATCTGCTTGGGAAACATGTGCACCTGATGTGCTAGCCTGCTGTCTCTTCTGCTCTCTACGAACTGGGGTCCACCTCTGACGTGGCTCACCCTGAATTGCCTTTCCCTTGTCCTTATCCTTAGCAGGGATAATAGGTTTAGGGATAGGCTCAACAACAGGAGGTGGTGCTGATCTGATGCCAAGTTTACACTGAACTTCTAAGTGCCCAAAATGTCTGCATTTGTAACAAAATTCGGGCTTCTGGTCATATATAACTTGTTGCCAATAGCCACCGATCTTTTCCCTCTCAATCCAAACTCTGTCAGGGAGATCGTAGTCCAAATTAACCTCCACACATACTCTAGCCTCACTAGGGCGGCGAAGATCAGATGTTGCCTCATCAATACGCAACGGAAGGCCAATAGCTTTAGCAATAGCATATAAACTGCTCTTAGCCCGAAAGTGAATAGGCAGCAGTGGAAAGGATACCCAGACTGGAGCAATTGGGGTCTCTTGCAGTGGACTAAAGCTTGGAGTCCATTTGAAGACTCTCATAGGGGAACCATCAATATACCACAGTGGTTTGAGGAATAACCGTGCATAGTCATCCTCGTGCGCCAAGTGAATCAAAATGTGTGTGGCATCAATTAGACCAATAGTATAATCACCACAAAAACCAAAGCGAGAAAAGTTTTCATGTACCTTAAGCATAGATGGCCTCCGGTGCACAAATTTGCCAACAAGAGTAAACTTGTATGGCTCAGCCAAGACTTCTTCATCTGCCTCTGTGAATAGAACTGCAGGTTCACCATGATGGATGAAAGGGTCCCTAGAAATGAGCTTGTGGTCAGTAGATTCTTGTGATGCTCGAAGAATTTGAGCAAAGGACTTCTTTTGACTCCTCTCTGCTTGAGAAAGTACTGGCACATTACCAACTGCTGCAGCATAAGATTTTGGACCAGAATGAGCAGTTGTGGAAGTTGCAGTCGCTCGTTGTGTTGCACGTGGTGGTGGGGGTTGCTTACGTGCAGGAGGGACTCGCGCGTTGATGGTACGCGCAGTTTGGGATGTACTAGGTGGTAAAGTGTTGATCCTTGGGGTTTTTCCATGATTTGGAGCCAGTGGTGCAGTTCCTGGGATCAAAGGAGGTCCAAAAACATTAGAAGGATTTGCCTCGGTATGTGTGCCGCTTGGCACGTTTCCCAATGTAGATTTCCCGTCAGTTTCAGCTGGAGCAATGGTCTCTCCAAAGGTTTTCATATGCTCTGGAGATGATGGAAGTGTCAAAAATACAGAATTCTGGCCAGAAACAGTAGTACCAACTGCCTCGATTTGTGTGCATTTTGGCATAAAATCCAATGTAATATTTTCGGTCAAATTGGAAGGCCCTTCTGATGTTTTTGGACCTTCTGAGTTCATCGGAGGTGTCAATTTTCTCAAATAATGCTCAGAAATGGAAGAAATCTGACCAGCAGCGCTAGAGGTGTGAAGAACACCATTTGATTCCAAAATTCGACAAATTAATGATGTAATCTCAGCAATTGGAACATTACCCAGAGTATTTGGGGCTTGAATTTCATTTACCCCACGTTTAATTGCAGAATCGAACACATTTGTGGGGTCAATTAAGAGAGAATCGGACTTTTGACCTTGAGGGATTGGATCCGTTCGATTCGCGAGATTGGGATGAAATTGATGAAGACCCATATGATATGGATGTTGCCCATGATGAGAGGAGTCGGTATGGGGTGGTCCGCCACTGTGGGTCCCACTGGTGGCGCCGGAAAAATGAAAGGGAGGCAGCGATTCGGCAGGCAGCGCAGGCGGACCTTCCAGGTGCAATTCCGGTCGATTGGGAGCTCCAAATGGTGAGTGGCGACCATGGTTGTGATCGTCTGGAGAAGGGCTACCGACTGGCAGTGGTCCGCGACCGTGGGTCCCACCGGAGGCGCCGAAAAATTGAAAAACGGCAGGCAGCGCAGGCGGGACTTTCAGATGCAATTCCGATCGATCGGAGGCTCCATATGGTGAACGGCGACCATGGTTGTGATCGTCTGGAAGAGGGCTATCGACCGGCAGTGGTGCGCCGGCGTGGGTATCACCGGAATAGTATTTTTCGGCAGAAATAGCTTGCGGCAGATCCGGTTTTTGGCCCCTATTTTCATCAGATTCCGGCCAGTTTATTGCCGGCGGTTGGGTGTAGGTTATAGAGGGAAGTGAGGGGGATCTATTGGTGGTCGGATCCGGTGGCCTGGGCGGCCGGAATGTAGCCGGATGTGATTCCATTTTGGGTGGCTAGAAATCACCAAAAATCTCCTATCTCTAGAGAGAAAATGGAAGGGTTGGTTATGGTTTTGTTTGGTTTAGGGTTTAGGGTCTAGGGTTTTTTTTTTTAAGCAAATACCACTAGTTTATATAATGAAAAGCGGGAAAACAAAGAGAGGAGGGGGGCATGGACCTGACCTCCAGCGAATGTAAATTGTAACAAATATCTGAAGATAAAATGCAATCACAGTAAACAAGATACGAACAAAAACAAATGAAAGGTACTTAAGGGTATTCCCGAGGGTAAATCTTCGGGTGGTAGTACATAGACATTGATCGGGTCATGCGTCTGGTTTGAAACATTTCCGGATCATAGTAGTCTGCGATGTCTGGCTCACTTGTTGGAGAGGGGTCTCGCCTGCGTGTAGGAGCCTGCTTTGGTGATAAGAACTGTTCAGATGGTGGTGCACGGTTTAGGGTTTAGGGTTTTAGGGTTTAGGGTTTTAGGGTTTTAGGGTTTAGGGTTTTAGGGCTTAGGGTTTAGGGTTTTAGGGTTTAGGGTTTAGTAATGAAAGGTACTCATGGGTATTCCCGAGGGTAAATCTTCGGGTGGTAGTACATAGACATTGATCGGGTCATGCGTCTGGTTTGAAACATTTCCGGATCATAGTAGTCTGCGATGTCTGGCTCACTCGTTGGAGAGGGGTCTCGCCTGCGTGTAGGAGCCTGCTTTGTTGATAAGTACTGTTCAGATGGTGGTGCACTGAATGTCGGGCGAAAAGCGGGTGCATCTGATCTCATTGTACTAGTCGTAGGTGCGTCTAATCTCATGGTGTTCTGTGCTACGACATCTGAATCATGGGAGATTGACCTGCTTGCTGTAGGGACATCGTCCTCTGCATTTTGCATGCAGTTTCCAAGTCCCATGCCATCCATGTCTCTCTGTATATGTTCTTTCACCTTATTGTGTGTAGGAGCTGTGATAGAAGGACCAGGTGAAGGTGTATGCGTAGGAGTCTTACTTACAGAAGGTCCCTCTCCAAAGAGCTTAAAAACCAAGTCCTCAATAGCAAATCTCATGGTAGATCCAACTTTCATTCCATGGTCCTTCTTAAAGTGATCAATCAGCATATGCTTGACACTATGTCGCTCTGAGCTGATCTCAGCCAACAACCCCTGTGCAAGAGTGGTTTGAGGAACTGTCTCGGTACCTGATCCCTGCGTTGATTGAGTACCATTTGTGTGTGTCTTCAATGGTGGAGAACTCATATGTGTCGACTCAGGGGGTACATCAGTAGTAGCTGTGGTAATAGGAGCTATGGAAGTAATAATAGGAGAAGTGGGTACCTCGATAGGAGCAT